AATTGACATAAATATAATACATGAAACTGTCACAAAAGTAATAACATACCAGCTGTATGTTAATTTTGCATTGAAGTAATAATTAAAAATTAGTAACACAAGAAAATTTTAACATTTAGACACAAGATTTTTTTTACGTAGAAAAGCTCATTATCATATACTCAAAGGAAGAATTTGTTCTGCTTTCAAGAATATAAACTTTATCATAAATTTTATCGAAGGAAAGTTAAGTTCGATTAATTGGAATAAATAAGCCGAAGTTTTAGTTTTAGGTCGTTATTCGTAGTTGTATCTTATATTTAAGACCGTCTTAAGCCCATCTTCCTATGCTGTACGGTTCTCATTTTATTTGCTAAAAAGGATCTGAAGATGAATTTAAGATGGTCTTAAATATAATATTTGTCTATGAATATCAGTCTTAATATTTTAATTTAATATTTTTGATAAAGTACTAAACTTGCAAGGATTCGGAATATATTTTGAATAAATTTGACGCTTACGAACTTATGATATATTTGCGAATATATAAACTTCTGAGATACTTGAAACAAATATTTACTTGAATGCAGTATATATTTTTCTGTGTACACACGAGGAAAAAAGATTGGTTGAATTAATGTGATAATGAACAAACTAAATGCATTTTGATTGAAGGAAACAGAATTTCTGGTTCTAAAAACCAAATTTGGCTCATAATCCAACAATTCTATTTCCTTCAACGCAACACGTTTGGGTTCGTTCATTGTCATATTAATTCGACCAATCTTTTTTCTCCGTGCGGAAGGAAGGATCATAAAATTTAGAAGAGCGCTCGCTTTCGACTGATTTTCATTCTTCGTCGCAGGGGTAAGTTCGGAATCGTTTACCGATGCAAGGAGAAAAAGGGCGGCTTGATGCTCGCTGCGAAAGTGGTGAACGTCATGAAGAAGGAAGACAGACGGGCCGTGCAGAGGGAAGTCGAGATCATGCGACGCCTGCAGCACCCGCGATTGATCCAGCTTTACGACTCCATCGACGCGGGGAAGCAGATCTACGTCATTCTAGAACTGTACGTTTCGTGCCGCGCGCGCGAAGCGCGTATGATTCGAGAGAGTCGCACTGCTGGATTACTAAAATTTCCGTCATTTAAGGATCGACGGTGGCGAACTCTTCGAGAGAGTGATAGACGACGATTTCGTGCTGACGGAGCGCAGCTGCGCCGTTTTTATGCGGCAAATATGCGAGGGGATAGAGTTCATGCACGGCCAGAAGATTTTGCATCTCGATCTGAAGGTGAGTCATTCTATCTGCGCGCGGATTGTTTCGGACACTCCGTATATGGATTTATATTTGACAGGTGTACACTTTGCAAACGTCTCTTATAATTTTTCGTCTTTGTGAACATTTAGAAAAAAAACATAAAAGTTGTAAATATCTAATTAATTAAATTAATTAGATTAGTAGAACAGTATAATTTGTAAAATAGTAAACTTATATAATTAGTAAGTAAACATGAGTAAGTAAAAGTTTAATTAATTAAATTAAATTAAATTTATTGAATTAAAATTACACTTAAGTGTAAACATTTGGAAAAAAAATTCTCCGTCACAGCCTGAAAATATCCTGTGCCTGACGAAGGAGGGCAACAGAATCAAAATCATAGACTTCGGTCTGGCGAGGGAATACGACCCGAACAAGAAGCTGCAAGTGTTGTTCGGCACACCCGAGTTTGTTGCCCCGGAGGTCGTGAATTTCGATCAAATCGGCTTCGGCACCGACGTGTGGAGTATAGGCGTCATTTGTTACGTCTTGTAAGTATGACCGTGAGATTCGTGAACTCTTCGGAGAGGAAAACGTTTCGTTACGGCAACGATCGCGTACACGACGAGATGCTCGTCGAGCTTGCGAAGAAGTTTCTTAGGATGATATTTATAGCCAGATCTTTAAGATCGTCTTCATCTTTAGATATTGTACGGCTTATTTCATTGGCTACTCTGGAAATAAACTCAAGACAATCTTAAATGTAAGATCCGACTATGAATATCGGCTATAGAAAAAAATTCTCTTCTTCTTTCCTTCTCCTTTGTCTTCAGTTTATTTAGTCACGTTCTGGTAATTGTAATCTTATATTGTAACACGTATTATCGTTGCAGACTGTCTGGTTTGTCACCGTTCATGGGCGACACGGACATAGAAACGATGGCCAACGTCACCATCGCCAAGTACGACTTCGATCACGAGGCCTTCGCCGAGATCTCCGACGACGCGAAGGACTTCATCAGATGCGTGCTGGTGAAAGACAAGGAGTAAGTATGTCCTTTCACCAAGGCGCATTGTGTATCTCTCTTACTCCTTCCTCCCTCTTCTCTCCACGTCGCTTGTGAAGTCTATTACTCGCTGCCTGCGATATACGTGCGTGTATTCACGGTCCACCTTGGGGTGTGTGTCTTTCGCTACTCCTTGAGAGAAGAAGAGAGATCTTCTTCCCGAAACTGTTAATCGTCCCCTCTCTCTCTCTCTCTCTCTCTCTCTCTCTCTCTCTCTCTCTCTCTCGCTGGGCACGAGGGTGTGTGTATGGTCTACGAATCTACGCTTGTCACATGCACTGGCTCTCGTTGTTGTCTCACTCAAAAATAATTCTCACTTTCGGTGATTCACACGCACCGGTCAGCATCCGGTCGATACGACAGGCTGTGCGAAGGAAACGGTCGTACTGTCTCGTGATAAGACATCAAGCGACAAGAAGTACGAACGACACCGGCACGGGTGGCCCGCTCGTCGACTGAACGATTTCTCATCGGGAACTTTGCACTCGGGCACATAGAAACACACGTATACAGAGACACGCATACACACATTACTCTTACGATATCCGAGCGTCGCCGTCGGACACCTCCTGCACGTGCATCGCTACTCCTCGTCACGTTTTCGCCCTTTAGCGTGCGCCCTCGGGCCGCACGAGTCTCTCGGCGCGCGGAGGGGAACCTGTCGAGAGCCCGCGGCATTAGAGCACGACCCTCCTCACGACGAGCCTTTCGAATCTTTCAGAAAGCGATTCACGGCGACGCAATGCCGGGAGCACCGCTGGCTGGCCCGCAAGACGAACGCTAGGACGGAGAAGGAGGTCGTGGGGCTGGAGGAGGCCAAGCGGAAAGCCCTGATCGAGAATCGACCGTCGATCGTGGCCGATAACAAAGACGAGCTGGACGTGACGAAGGACAATCTCCGGCTGTTCGTCGAACGTTGGCGGGAACACCCGGACAGCCCGTACACGATCGACACGTATCACGCGCTGCCGAGGAATCCGGCTCGCGAGCGCGACGAGTCGGTGTCCCTGCGGGCCCACAGCCCCTCCCCCTGCGACAGCCTTCCCAGCAGCAGCGCGCCGTCGGAGAAGGTGCCGATCCGAGAGAATCCCGGCAATCTGTTGTCCGTGCCGAGTCTCAGCCTGTCTTTGGAGAGGAGAGCGTCCGAGGGCGTAGCGATGCGGCACCGCCGCGACCCCGCCAGTCAGATCGCCCTCGCCGAGGAGATCATCAAACTGTCGGAGCACCTGCGCGCGATCGCCCTGGGGGAGTCGCGCGTGAGCGAGGAGGGAGAGAGCCAGCGCTCCGCCAGGATGAAGCTCGCCGAGAACGGCAGGTACGCGAAGAGCAGCGTCACGCTGTCCGTGTCTCGCAACGAGGAGACGAACGAGATCACGGAGAAGCTGTCCAACATCGCCCGGCAGCGGAAGCTGAACGGGACGACCTTCCACAGCAGCCGCAGCTTCGACAGGTACACGCAAGACACCAGCCCCGGGAACGTGTTCGTGGCTCTGAGGAGGACCAGCATCGGCGACGGCGAGACCTCGCCGTCTGAGAGGCGCAAGGGTAGGAAGTACTCCGTCGAGCAGGCGACGATCTCCGAAACGGTCGAGGGAGACTTCAACGGGCAGGCCGCGAGCAAGAGGAGCAGCGGCTCTTCTGCCTTGAAGGAGGAGAACGAGGAGTTGGATATGTCGCCACCGTGGCGACGTTCGCGAGTCAAGCGATCCTTCGGCGAGACCAGCCGGGACGTGCCGCGGATATCGAACCTGCGGGACCTGCACAAGAATCTGAACCTCGACGAGCCGAGCAGCGCGAAGGACCTGCTGTTGCACTTGTTGGGCGAGTGGGACGAGGTGACCGCGACGCCCTGCGCCGGCGCCGGCAGGAAGTCCGTCAGTCTGGACTGGTGCGCCGGGGACTCGGTCGCCAGGAGGACGATGAACTCGTTGGCCGAGTACTTCCAGTCGAAGCAGCAGGAGAGCACGCAGCCCCCCGACCACGTCGCGTCCTCCACGTCGATATATCGCTGAACGAAGAACGCGCGTCAGGGGCTGACGCGTCCACGGGTCACGCGCGGCGCACGTGGCTTCGATCGGGGAAAACGCACGAAACGTCGTTGTAACACGCGGTATTTTTATTCGGTCGTAAATCTCGCTTCGGAGCGACGCGCCTCGGCGCTCCTCAGATGAAAGAGGCGCGCATCGCGGAGACGCCTGAGACGCGATAATCCCCTCGATGATAAATATAACGGGCCTTGGTGTTTTTATAGTATACTTTAGTGGACGGATCGAGAATGTGGGATCGATGGAAACTCGGTTTCGCGAATTTCCCCATCTTCGCGCAGCCGGAGATCAACTTCACCGACCGTCGAATTCCCTCCGGTGCTTCTTTCCATTCCCGGCTGTTCGTCTCGACCCGCACTGGGGACGATTGTTTCCCCGGGGAAAAATTGTCCATATGTAATTGCATGTAACATTATCTAAAGAGAGGTAGAGAAAGCGTCATATATAGAATATGTCCATGCGCAAAAATATATAACTAAATATGAAGTGATATAGTTACATATGATTATATATAAATATATATATTAATATATATAATTATATACAATAATTTATAATTACATACTTTTACATATGGGCATATTCTATATATGATATGTGAGAAATTTCTTCCCAGGTCGGCACGAACAGATTTGCTGACAACTAAAAAAAGCTGAATGGAATGTGAGAGCTTTTGTTATGCACCATAAACACACCCTCAAATCGAGAGCTAAAATATGATCGTGCGTCAATTTCTAATTCTCATTCGAGAAACACTTGCGGAACGCGAATTCGGTTTTAGTTCTCTGCGAACTAATATTCCATCGTGGCGCTTTTAACAAGAAAGAAAACGCGACAGCTTCTTACTTCCCCACGGACTTGACGATTCTTCAGTCGTGAATTGGCCATCGTTTCTATGTCCGTGTCGCCCATGAACGGTGACAATTGCAGCTTTCGAAAACGTCCGAGCGAAATATTATTCTGTCATATGTATTGTAGTGTATTATAGTAATATATTAATTATATATACTACGTTCCGAGACTCGTGACGGATAGCACAGACTAAGCTTAGATTTTTTACTAAGAATGTTGCACCAAATCCGCGAGGAAGAGTTGACAGAGAGAGTTGATTGCAACACCTACACATTCTTTGTCACAAATGGTTTGTTCACGTTTCATATTTAATACAAAAATACCGTAGTACTTTATCTAAAAATATATTATAAAAAAATCGTGACACACATCCGTCTGTTTCGCGATTCTTCACATCGGTGCCCACTACAATTAACTCGAGTTGCGAGTAACTCACAAAGTAAAATCTATAAAGAATGCTTCAGAACCCGGTAAGCAAGAGACATTGAATCGAATTTTTTGAAACATTGATTTTACGTGAATTTTATAAATACTTTGACATAATCTATAAATATGTTTAACACGTTGACTTGGCCACGGAACTTTTCACGATTCTGGTCTAAGAAGCCAATTTGATGATTTAATCAAGTAATGAAGCGACGAGATAACTCGTAGTTGGCAGTCAACGTGTTAAACTGTTACTTTATAATATAATATTCCTAAATAATGAAATCATAGAGTAGAAGTATTATTTTTAGTGTTTGGGTCAAATATTGTTAACAATGTATGTGCGATGTTGTATACAACATTAAGAACTACGTATTTGAAAACGTTACATGTTATAAAATATCATTATAATAACATCGTGTTACTGATTTCTCGCCAGGAATAAACCCCATGCAACGGAAGTGTCCAAGATACATCATAGATAACGCTGTAAATTTCGGATATTCCTGTGATGTATCTTGGATATTTCTGCTACGTGGAACAAACTAAATTGCAGTGACAGACACTTCGATCGATCTGGAGTCGATTATTCTTTATTTTTGTCAGTCGATTATTCTGTCATTATTCTTGTCTTCATCTTCTGCAAATCGTCCATATCGCTGTCAACTCTTGTTGACTATCATAGTTGAATAACGCGAGACGTAACAGAGATAATTACCGTCGTTGTTAGATAATCTACAGGTGACAGACCGAGAAATTGATTGCTTTTCTTGCTCTAGGGAGAGACCGACTTCTGGCAAACTTATAGAGCACCGTTGGCTAGAAGCCGCCGTGGAGAATCCGATTCAGAAGCACCGATTGAAGCGCTACGTCATTAAGAAACGCTGGGTTAAGGCCGTTAACACTATCCTGGCATTGAAGCGAATGGGCGCGCGTTTAGACTTCGACCTGATCTAGTATCGGTGACAACTGCATCGATCCGATAATCACCAACGTCTGGCACCTGTGCCTCGTATCATGTATTCGTGTAATTCCTCGTTCAACGCGTGTCACGGATCTTAACCGAGGAATTGGCAAGAGATAAAGGACAAACGAGAGAATTAGTAACACGATCGTCGCGTGCAAGAGCGACAACGTCACTGTTCTGGCATAGTTTCTTGGCTCTTCAGGAGCGACAATATCACATCCCACGCACGGAACGAGGCTCGGTGATCATTGAATGAGTGTTTTAATTGTTCAATGCTGGGCGAATAGTTCGTCGGTAATTCGAGTCACAGCCGTACGAGTATCTTAAGTACTTTCCGCGTGATTTTTTCATGAGTATTATTTAAATTTACTCAAAAGATGAGTATAATATATATATATATAAATATAAGTGTATATATATATATATATATATATGAACATGAGTTTTTATAGTAAAAAACAGCGAGAATTAATTCAAGCACCTAATATATCGACGTATTAGGTACTTGAATTAATTTTCGCTACTTCTTGCTACAAAAACTCATTTTTACTTTACTTCAAAAGAACGGTACATTATATCTTATTCAAAGTATTGTCCTTCAGAAGCTACAACCTTTTCCCACTTTTCGGTAACACATAGATTTTGCGGTAGAAAAATTCAGGTTCTTTCGAGGCAATCCAGTCGTTGAGCCATTTTTTGATATCTTCGAAAGAACTGAAGTGTTGCTTAGAAAGGCCATGCTGCATCGATCGAAACAAATGGTAATCTGAAGGAACAACGTCTGGTGAATAGGGCGGGTGGGGTAAGCACCTCATCCAAGTGCCTCCAAGATTTCCTTCAATAATGTCGCAACATGTAGTTTAGCATTGTTTGAAGAAGAATAATTTTGTCATGTATTTTGGCGTATTGCTGACGTTCTTCTTTGAGCACTCGATTTAAATTGAATAATCGTCGTCGGTAACGTTCAGCATTGATGAGTCTGACTCGTTTGGAGCAGTTCATAATACACTACACCGATTTGATCCCACCAAATGCAGCATGGCTTTCTTTCCATGAATATCCTGTTTTGGCGTTGATGTTGATGGTTCGCCTGGACGCACCCATGATTTCTCGCGCTTAGGACTGTCGTAACGAATCCATTTTTCATCGCCAGTCACAATTCAAAAATATTTTTTCATCACAGGAGAATATTCACCTATAGGAATCAAGTGTTGTCATACGCCATACTGCAGTTAAAAATTGCTTTTCAGGAGAAATCATTGGTTGTCCCGCACATATTCCCTTTAATCTCGGAGCAATATTATTAAGAACATATTCAAATGTTTCTCTTGTTATTCTGTGCCAAAGAAAATAGAAACACAAAATTAACTTTCTGATAAATTCACGAGTGTATACAACTTAAGACGGGTAAGATTAAATGCGTGTTATTTATGTAAAATAAAGTAAACAACGTACAATTCGCAATCTTCAAATTACCTAAAATATGATTGAAATTGTTGATTATCGTAGGCTGGAATAATGTTCTCCACAGTTCTTTAACCACGGCAGCTTTTCTATCCGCCATCGTGCATAGCATGTTCCATTTCATCGTCATCACTTTCTGATGATGAAGAGTCAATAAGTTCCCGCAAAATTGCAACGATACCGTTCTTAATTATGGCTTGTTACAACGAATCAATATTTTCTCCATCTATATTAAACTCGCAATCGAGCATTACAATTGAGCATAAGTGTCTCATAGTTTGTTAACGAGCTCCCCAAATCGCTAATGCGATTAGCACGACGCGTTCGGGCAGTACGCTAACGCTAACGCGCTATTGGCTCCCCGAACGGTGTTTTATAGCGTTAGCGTCTCGTAACGCGATAGCGAGAGCTGTCCGAACGCAACCTTTGTGACTTCAATGACGTCACAAAGCATACCGAACAGTGATGTTTTCGAATATAGTCTGGTTATTCAGCTGGTGTCCTAGTGGTGTGCACACAGTGGATTCTCGAACGCAACTGCACATAGATCACGTGATCTCACGTGAGTGAGAGAGAAGGCAACGGATATAAACAGAGTGCATTCTTTTCTACGTGCACCTCGACCTTAAGGCCTGTTCTACAATACGTTATACGTCGCTATGTATGTATGTGTCGGACGGCAGAATATAATCGATGGTCCGATGAGGATAACTCATTATCGAAAAATAAATTCTCTCATTGGACCATTGACTACGTCTGTCATCCGACAACGACGTACAACGTATTGTAGAATAGGCCTAAAGCTCATATCAGACTACGGATTGGGGATTGAGATTGAAATTAAATTTGACTAATCAGTACAAAGTTAACTGAATTCAAGTTTAGTGAAATTTAGTGAACTTTGCATTGATTGGTCAAATTTCAATTCAATTTCAATTTTCAATCTGTAGTCTGATACGGGCTTAATGATTTCTGCCCACAGGACGCGGAAATGTTTGCCGCGCGGTAAGAAGCGACGCGGCAGCCAATAAACTTTCAGTTCTTGTGGCAAAACGGTACATTGATAGGCTACCGCGTTGCTTCTTGCCGCGCGGCAAGCGTTGCCGCGTCTTGTGGATAGAAGCTATTACTCCTCAAATAAATAGTCTGTTCTTCATAGCTGCACTGCTGAAACTGGTCAATAAGTTGAAGCGAGGAAACATATTTATCTCACTTCAATTTATTGCACTAGTTCAGCAGTGCAGCTATAAAGAACAGACCATAAAGGTAAACGTTCGGTCTATATATATTATATTTATTGTCTGAGCAAATGTTCAAGGAATATTGAGCGCATTTTCATGACAATTAGAATGACAACCGTGTTTTGAAAAGGACATATAGATAGAACGTAACATTAAAATATGCCAAAGTAATCGCGCCGACAAGTCAGCATGGATGTCAGAAATTCAACAATATTGGAATCTTCTAGCGAGGATTCCATACTGTTCGAGACTGTGAAAAGTATAGCGAAGGGAGAAGATCGTAAGGAAACAGAGAACGAAGAGGACTTCTTCCTAATGTCGCTTCAAGAGAAACAGTATTCCAGTGCAAACGTTAAAGAAGCAGCAACAACATATAAGCGTCAGACGGAAGAAATGTTTCAGTGGACGGATCTTTGCAGGATATGTGCCAATGCTAATGACCATTTGATACCTATTTTTGAGGGAGAAGGGGCAGAACTTGACTTATCTAGTAAAATATTCAAGTACCTGCCAATACATGTATGTATTACAATCATCATGTATATCAACATACATATTTCATGATATCATTTATACATAGGTACTTGCTTTATTCAAATATAGAATATCTTGGTAAATATGATTATTTATCCATAGGTATCTAAAAATGATACTTTACCGTTACAATTATGTTATCACTGCGCAGTTACGTTATTGGCTTGGCATCAATTAAGTAAAGATTGCTTAAATGCGGAGAAAAAGTTGCTAGAAATACAAGATGTCTTGCAAAATAAACAGCAGGTAAAGTATATTTGTAAGTAACTGCCAATGTATCTTTGAAGGGAATTTATTTAAGGTTAGTGAGCTAATATTTTAATTTAGCATTTTAATTATATCTTTTATACATTTTACAGAATGACGATGCTGCATCTTTCATTAATTCAGATGTCTCTATACCAGTTATCTCAACAATTTCAACTGTATCTAACATAGCAATCTCACCAGTAAGTTTACACAATAAGTATAAACAACTAATCTTTTTGTATTATGAAATTTAGTTACATACTTTTATTACAGATTGATCGGCAGACTGATTGCAGAAATAGTACACATGACACAGAGGGAAATGTATCTAACAGGTAATAATCTCATTTTTTGCAATTTATAACTTAATGCTAAAAACATACAGTATTCCACACCACTTGTTCTTTTTATGTATAAATGTGATTTTTATTATAATCACGATTCAGTGTTTAAATGAACATTTGAGAAAACTATGGAATTAAGTAGAACAATCTCAAGAACCAGGATACTTTTGGAGGATATATGCTCTAGCATATATGGATAATTACATATAATGTTTAAAATAGGTACCATTGTGTTCGTTTTACTTCCTATATCTTGAAAGAACACAGAAATACTATTTTACACTAAGTACAAAAAATAATTATACAATACGCGTTGTGATAAACTGTGACTTGTTGAGCGATTTCCTAGATAAACTAGAAAGATAGAAACAATTTATTAGTATCAGACACTCTGAGGAAACTTAATGGAAACAGTGGGATATCTTGAAAACAAAGCAATTGACAAGAAAAAAATGGTTTAAACTAAAGTTGTAGGGTTTGATTACTTGTCGATAACATCACCTTAACACTTTTGTATGCAGAATGACAAATAGAATCGATCGTTGTAAGCAAACATAAAAACATCTTAACAAAAATTCATTGTATTTTGCAGATGCATCGATGCACCGATGTGCGCAATGATTAATGTAAATAATCGATTTCTCTTATATTATTATGTAGAAAAATATTAAGGTGATGTTATTGGAAAATGAATACATTATAAGATATTTCATATCTTATACTGAAAAATATCGGAATGAAAAGTAAAATATCTGGATAAGTTTTTCGATAATATTATCCTAGTATTTTTATACGCAGAATGAACAGAAGAATTGATTTCTGTTAAAAAAAATGATATAATTCCATAAAAAAAAGTTGACCTTGAAATGACTGAATTATTGTCTATACAACGAAGCTAAGGTTACCAACTTATGTCCTTTTCCAAATCCTTCCAAACCTTTTGTTTGAACAATTTTTTTTTGCTGATGCTTCGTTTCCAAAATATTCCACTGTTTCCATTATAATGGGGCATCCTGTATGCAAGAGTGTCCCATCTAATTTGAGTACCTTAAATATCTAACTTGTTTTTGATAATAGGAGAAAATGTCGAAGGAAAATATTCGTTTGGAAGAGGCAAATATTATGCTAAGCAAACCATTTTTCTCAAGATCATATTTTTCGAGATTTTAGTCATCGATATTTTTTTAAATGGGACTACTTTCCAGAAAGTTTCCGGAAACTTTCCAGAAAGTTAAAATCCACGATAACCAACTCGAATGGCAACCATCCGCCACGTTGTGCCCATGCGTGCGCAAATCCGGAGTCAAGTTTCGACTATTTTGCAGGTCTTGCGGTGTCCAGACACCGTTTAGAGTGTTCCTGGACACGCAAAATGTATTTTGGAAGCCATACAGGAAACCACGCGCGGAACCCGCGCATGTAGTATCGCCACCGAACGCGGCCAAGTACTGTGATTCAGTCTGGATAGCCATGATGAACACGTCGCTCGATCAACCAGCTGAATTATCCGCGGAGCAACCGCAAAATAATAATCCTCTGAGATCGCCTGTTGAGGCTGAGGAGGGGCCGCCGCCGTCTCCCACTGAGGATTCCAAAAGGAAGAGAAAACAGCTCAATTCTAGCAAGTCGCACAAACAGTGCGCGGAATGCGGCAGATGTTTCAAACTGAAGGACTCTTATCAGCGGCACATGAGGATCCACAAGGACGAGCGACCGTTCACCTGTCACGTTTGCGGCAAACAGTTTCGCGACTCCGGCGGCCTGTCTAGGCACCTGAAGGACGTGCACGCGAAGCTGAAGAACTTTACGTGCGACCTGTGCGATCGTTCATTCGCGTCCAAGGCGACACGCGAAGACCACCGACGCACGCACACCGGTGAACGACCATATGTCTGTGACTCCTGCGGCAAGACCTTCAAGTCCAAGGCGTCCCTCTATATCCACAGCAAGCTACATACAGACGAGTTCCCGCATACCTGCTCGTATTGCACCAAACGCTTCCGCCGCCGGCAGGAAATGCTCGCCCACGTGACCACACACACCGGCGAGAAAAATCACACGTGCGACGTCTGCGGCAAGAAGTTCCGTATCAAATCCGAGTTAGCGCGGCACAAGCTTATTCATTCGGAAAACAAGCCGTTCTCCTGCTCCAAGTGCGGTCTCGCTTTCCGCCAGAGACGCTATCTGAATAATCATATTAAGAGCCGGCACAACGAGCCCCTGCAACGAGTGTGCTAACGACGAGAGCTTAACGATCGAAACTTCGCGGTCAGACCACAATCGTTTCCTGCCTTTCTCTCTGTCTCTCGCCTTGTTCCTTTGTTTGTGTAGACACGGTCCTTCGATGATGCGCCAGCCAGGAAACCGATTTAAATTTGCCGCCTTTGTTTTTCCAGGTGTGGCCCGGCGAGAGAGAAACCCTTCGCGGCGTACTGCTCTGCGCGTAACGCTGCTCGATGGGCGAGCGATCGCGTGAGAAAGTGCGAAAGCGAACTCACGGACGCGACAGCGAAATTAACACCGACTGCAGAGAAAGCTAGAGAAATCTCGGAGAGAAAGACTTGCGAGAACTCATCGGACAGCAGCGTCGTGGAATTCGACGAGAAGGAGGAGGATTCGAGCACTTCCAAGCGTCGATATTTGAAATCGGCGAAAAAAGGATACACCTGCGATCACTGCCGACGCGTGTTCAATACGAAACACCACCTGGCGCATCACATGGCAAGCTGTGAGAGTCACAGCTCGACAAATCGAACAGGGTCCTCGGCAGCATGCGTTCAAGAAGCGGGAAAGAATAGGAAAATCGACGACAATTCGGCGAAACGAGAAAATTCAAGTCGTCCGAAGGGTTGTGCAAAGAGCGTGGGAGACGATGAAGGTCACGGCGAAGCTTTCGGCAAGCCTTTGAAAAAACGCTCTTCGAGAAGTTATCCCTGCAGATATTGCGAGTACACCGCGGAGAAGAAGAAACTGTTGAGCGTCCACCTAACAGAAGCGCATTCCGAGTTCGCGCGGAAAAATCGGAAATCATTCGTGGATACGGAGAGCGTGCTGCGTGCCCGGATGGTGCACGATGGCAAGGTGTACTATCACTGCGGCGAGTGCGGCAAGAACTTGAATTCGCCGTATACTTTCTACTGGCACATACGCATCCACACGGGCGAGCGGTTGTTCACTTGTCACATGTGCGGCAAACGGTTCCGCGTCAATCAAGGTTTGGCGCGCCACTTGAAGGAGACTCACGCGGGCGTGAAGAACGTGCCGTGCGATCTGTGCGGCCGCATGTTCTCGACACGGCGCAATGCCGAGGATCACCGGCGTATCCATACCGGCGAGCGACCGTACGTCTGCAACGTGTGCGGCAAGACGTTCAAGCAGAAGGCCTCGCTCTTCGTGCACAATCGCACGCATTCGGACGTGTTCCCGTTCAAGTGCAGCTACTGCGGCCAGACATTCCGCACGCGGTCGCCGCTGATGGTGCACATTACCAAGCACACGGGCGAGAAGCCGTACGCCTGCGACGTCTGCGGCCGTTGCTTCCGCATTAAGTACGAGCTGAAACGGCACCGACTTATCCACTCGGACGAGAAGCCCTGGCGCTGCACAGACTGCGATCTCTCGTTCCGGCAGAAGCGTTACTTGATTAACCACAAGAGGCTCAATCATGAGCCGCCGTGCCACCTGATCCCTGCGAAGTAATCGACTGATTCTCTTTTCGGACGCCTGCCTCGCGTATGTCGAGCGTCAAGTTCGCTGAACATGAGTTTTTCAAACCGCTTGCAAAGAGACGACGAATCCTGAGGAAGATCTGTTTCAGCACGACCAAACGCTGTTCAGCGCTAAATGTTTATTATCGATCCTCCGAGGTAACTTTGGGAAAATCTGGGTTCATGGAAAGATCACGCGAGTAATACCCAGTTAAGTAACTCTGAGAGAGAGAGAACTGAGAACTTCTCAAGCGCTTCACGGTAAATTCCCGAAAATATTGGGTGTTCCGGTTAGTTTTGAAGGCTCATTGTAGGTTGTTATAGCTATGAATCTATTAGAGACATTTTGAAAGTTGGCATGCCATTTCGAAGCTTGGACATTTTTACAAATCATTCGACACTGGCCCTGTGTATTCGTAAACATGATCATACTGTTTAGTGCGATTGAAAGTGGAACGTGATAAGGAGTGCGAAAGACGTGTATTATGAGCTGCTGAAACCGAATCAAACTGTCACCGCTGAGCGTTATCAACGACAATTAATCGATTTGAATCGTGCTTTGAACGAGAAACGTTCCATAACAGCTCATAGAAAACGCAAAGTGATTTTGTTGTATGACAATGCTCGACCACACGTTGCAAAAGCAGTTAAAGATACGTTATCGGCATTTCAATGGGAAGTTTTACCACATGCCGTGTATTCACCAGACTGTGCTCCTTCAGATTATTACTTATTTCGATCGATGCAGCACGGCCTTGCTGACCAGCATTTCCAAACATACGACGAAATACAAAAATGGCTCGATGAATGGATTGCTTCGAAAGACGAGTATTTTTTTTTTACGCGGAATCCACTTATTGCCAGAAAAGTGGGGAAAAAGTTGTAGCTAACGGTGGAAAATATTTTGCATAAAATCTAATTTAACGTCTCTCTAAAATAAACGTGTTTTTTTGCCAAAAGTTCCTCAAAACCAGCCGGAACACCTAATACATATAAGACGTATCTCTAAGTGAGTCTCGAAACAATACAACGGTTCGACTTATTCGAAGATAAGGAGAAAGGTTATATAAAACTCCGACTACACGCGTGAGGAATGCGGAAAGATTCTATTTACTGCGTACAACCTCTCGATTTATCGCAACATTCTTACTAACATACATAAAGCCACACTTGCGACATATGCGGCAAGAGGTCGTGTGAAGAATTACCTGGCTGGAGCGTATCCATTCCGAGGAGAAGTCCTACATGTATCGACAATGCGGAATCCGCTTCGTTTTAGCACTTTATGTGAAGAATCGCGAATGCTCAATACACATGTAAAAATGAAGCGACTCTTCTTATAAATGACGTTATTTTCAGTAACGTGCCAATAATGCATTAATGCGGTGGCAACCTCAATATCTGAAGCTCGTTTCATTGAGATTTATTTAAGAGATTTTTGAAACAGAAGCGTGAACGAGATGACAGTATCGAATATTTTTATTGTAAAACGTCATACTCGTCGACATTATGTGTCAACAATGTGATATTATTTTTTTTATATACGTATGCACGCGTATGTACGCACATGCGCGTGTTGTGTGTGTGTGTGTGTGTGTATATGTATGTATAATGAAGATATTTTAGAAAATGTAATTAGATATAAATACTTTTTTATTAGATGTAAATATATTTATATTGTAATGCTAATTTATTTTACATATGGTCATGAGGTAAACCAGTTTTCGAAATGTAAGATTTGTGTATATTTTGTATATTTTTACTTTTTCAGCTACTGTTGGACATTAATTGTTATATGCTGCATACGAAAAAGAAATCATTTTTAATATAAGAATTTGTAAAGGAAAATTCGATATTATTAGTATATCTTGTGAAATGGATTTCTTAAGAATACTCTGTAACTTAAAATACCTTGTGACTCTGTTACTTAATTGAAATGTTCTTGAATTGTCTGCGCAATTTGGAGAAAATTGACCGTGTGAATATTGATAGTTGTAAGTAGTATTTAAAATTAAGTGTCTTCCCTATATCATACTAATGTGTTAACATCTTATTTTTTTATTTTACTTTCCAAACTATGTTCAGAACTTTAATAAAGAACACAATGATGTTAAAAATCAATATACATTTGTGCATAAATCATTCATGCAAAAAATCAGAATTATTAATCAGTGAAACGTTTTGCGTTTCAAATTCTTTGGTATACCTTAGTATTTGAGTAGTTTGGTTAAACAACCGCGTGACAGTAATGGTGCATCGTTGGTGATTGGCCGTTTGTAGCGTGCGTTTTGAATTTTGGCCAGTCAACCGTGTGTCAGCTATGATGCGAAAGGGAAGGAAAATGTAGGAATTGTTAGGTAAGTGACTACGACAACGTTTCTCTGATTCCTACTTCGTAAACATTTTTTATATATCGACTCTACGCCTGAATAGATCTTTGAGCATATTTTCAGGTAACGTACATGGGAGTGGGAAAACACGCACGCTGTCAGATAAAATTATCTACTACTGTGCGTGCCTCGGAAGGTTTCAGCAAGCAGTTATGTATGAGATTTGTTTAATCTGTAGATGAATACTTTCTTAAAATGTCAGCACAAATTTCGGCTTTCACTTAATGCACGGCACTTCATACGTTTGACACATGCGCGAGCGGAAAAACAATTGCGAACGACATCCTGTCGGAACTTCGCTAGGGAATTATGCATAGACCCAATAGTATTCCAAATCCAAAATCAATCAATTCATTAAAACGGAGTAATAATTCTGCGCTTTGTGTTGTGTCGTGAAAATAGGGAACAGCTATATAATGTAGTAGAATAGATATTTTGAAATTTGGAGTAACCGACAATTGGATAATATCTTTTTCAAATTTATATTGAATTGTTCGGTAAGTTCGTGAAGATTTTTACGAAAAACTCAAAGTCAGTATACTCACAGTCAGACACAGCTCAATTTTGAATTTTTCTAGATGACTTTTTATTATCAGAGAACGGTCGATACATTATTGAATAAAATTATACCCAACTATAAACAATGTTAAATCTTTTCGCAGAAACTTGCACGAACTTATCAAACAATCCGATAGATTTCTCGCGAGGAATATAAGCGCAATATGATCAGGTAGAAATAACAATAGACATCCCAGTGAAATCCAATAGTAAATCGTTTATTAGTACGAAGGTATGTGATAGTGTCTCGAGATTGACCTCGGTCGACATTCGTGATTAAAAATGCAGACCGTGGTAACGTGATGCCGTGACGTGAACGAGTGTGACAGAGCTTCTTGTTCCTTAGCTGATGTAAGAGATAGATGTTAGAGCTAGTTACCCTGTTCTGCGAGCTGGCGTTCTTCTCTTCCGTCGACGCTGATCCCAGTCGACCTTTCGTGAGGAGCATCCATGAGAACATTCCTCGTCGGTGGCCGACGATCGATCCTTTAATTCCATCGTTCGCTTTAGACTGACCCTCTCTAAGAGGGACTAATAATTCAAATTGAATCGTCTGCGAAGTCAGATCGGAATAAAAGCCGCTCTAATTCGCATCGGATTATGTAAATTAGACAAGATAAAAGCCAGCATTTAAACCGCCCTTTCCCACGTTTAGCCTTCGATTTAGTTAGGACGATCCTCAGTACGAAGTGCAACTTATCACCGTACATTTAACGCTAATTGCGATACAACTGATTCCGAATATCATTTGTCTGATATATTTCTATTGTCTCCCCGGGGATAAAAATGATCATATATAATTACATATAATTATATAAAATCATATATGAATTTTGCCTACATATGTGATTACATATATGATTATATCCCAGCAAACATGAAGTCATATAAATGTTAGTTATAATTTCCTACTCAACAATGTAACTATTATATAATATACACGTTATTGAATAGGAAATTACAACTAATAGTTGTGTGACTGTAATTTTGTTTGCTAGGTACATGTCTATACGAAAAATATGATACAATATCATTTAATTATTAGGTGTTTGAATTAATTTTCGCTGTTGACTAATCAAGATCAATAGTTGTGCTATTTCAACATGGACGAAAGTGACTGTTGATGTATATGAAAGTACTGTAGGCTTTAATGATCAGTGTGTGACGTTAGATCGTGGTGCCAAGAACACCATTTTTGATTGCATTGAAGGTTTCGTATAAAAGAAAGAGCATTTGCGGAAAGCATTATTTTTCTGTTTTCATCTCAAGAAATCTGCTGCTGAAAGTCATCGTTTGCCAGTGGAGGCTTATGGGGAGCATGCTCTATCTGAAACAGCTTGCAGAAATTGGTTTAGACGATTCAAAGACAACGATTTTCACGTGAACGACAAAGAACGCCCTGGTCGACCGAAAAAGTTCGAAGGATAATACTATAAATAAGATATAATGTGTCGTTCTTTTGAAATAAACATGAGTTTTTGTAGCAAAAACAGCGAGAATTAATTCAAGCATCTAATAAATGTCAACGTCATGTCAGAAATATAAGTAGACCAGAAGCATTTATTTCGATTATATTTGTATATAATTTGTAAACAATATTTTTTCGTCGTGGACATATATGATTATATATGGTCATATATAGGCAGATTTCATATATAACTTTTTTTCCCTGGGTCCTTAGCATTATATTTAGCATTAAGTACGGTTATTTAGGGTGCGTTCGGAGAGACGCTATTAGCGCTATTTAAGCTAAAGGTTATTCGCGAAGCTGGAGGATAATGCTAATAAACACAATCACGACGTTAGTGGTAGTGTGTTACGTCGTAACTGCGCGCAACAAACGCTATTCCTTCGGAAGGTGATGTAATGGTAACATTAGCGTTTGCAAGCTCTGTGAACAGCCAAAATATGCATATTACTATATGTTATACAATACGAGTGTATCGTATGTATCGTATGTATGGATATATCGTATCCATTATTTTATACTATTATTCCCGTATGTAATGGATAATCGCGTGGAAATAAAGTTTCGGTATATTGAAATTGAAGGCGAGTTTAAATCACGACGTTTGACCTAACTTGAAGAATACAAGAAGACGTAAAACGACGGTATCTTTACGCAGTAAAGACTCCTACACACAGAACACGGAAACCGCTTACCGCGCTATAAGAAGCGACACGATAGTCAATCAATGTGCCGTTTCTCCAAGAACTAAAGTTTATTGGCTGCCGCGTCGCTTCATGCTGCAAGTATTTCCGCGTTCTGTGTGTAGAAAGTATAATGCTGACGCTGCGCTAATGCCGTTCATGGAGCTTGCTATCGGTTTCGCGTTATTGGCTCCACAAACGGCATTAGTAGTCCTAATAGTCTCTTCGAACACACCCTTAGAAGCACGTTTCGGGCTGGATCTACAATAAGTGTAGCTAAGCATTTAGCCGTTTGTTTCATGCAATAAAATATAACGTAATTTCAATGACAAACAGCGTTTCTATCGTGCTACCAAAAGTCGTAGTAACGTTTAAGTTTTAGGAATTACGACGTCTAGTAGCACTGAAAACATTTTTTACTAAAAATTACATTACAGTTTAGCACTTGGAGGAAAAAGCTAAAGGCTTACTACAGTCACGGACAGAAATGTTATCATATTTCCTACACGGAAAAAAGTTTGGTTGTATTAAATCAGAAAAAGAGGAACCAGATGTATTTTGATTGAAGGAAACAGAATTTATGGTTATAAAGATCACATTTGGGTCATAAAAGCCAGAAATTCTGTTTTCTTCAACTAGAACGCATTTAATCGTTCTCTTTCCGGTTAATACAGCCACATTTTTTTTTCCGTGCAAACATTGTGATATTGGAAATTTCGAATTAACCGCATTATTTTTTAATATTCGTGCGTCATTACTGCTATTTTTTGGAACATCTTTGCGGCTCATAGAATAATCAACAGTCACGACGTACGAACATTCAGAAATAGTACAGCAAATTCGAAATTTCCAATATCGTTGTACTCAGGGAATGCGACAACCTTCCTGCCCGCAATTGTACACAAGTATTGTAGATTCGGACTTACTTTTCTAAACTGAAGATCGCACGTCTTGTCCCGACAATGGGATCAAAATCGCGTGGTAAACATGCTAAACGTGTGGCTGGAATATGGACTGGAACGTCGATCGTCGGCAGTTCTCAAAATTCCCGGGACGGAACACGGTGCGACAGAAGAGCGGGACGCCCGTGCGAGCTAACTTTCAAGAGATGCTACTTGTTATCTCCTTTCGAGGTACTCTAGTGCCTATATTTTATTGTGTTTTCTGTTCTGCCTATAGCGCTAAAACCGCCGCTAAGGGTCAGCGGCACCAAAGTGTGGCTGCTGTAGGAGCAACAAGAACGGGAACCCTCCGGTGCCCCTTGGAACGCAACAATAAATAATAATCTCGCGATACGTGTTCGCGGTTAAAAGGTAAGAAAACGTTCTCTATCTCTAGCTTCCGTTCGTACATATTCTTCTTTTATTTTCCTCTCCCTCTCTCTCTCTCTCTCTCTCTCTCTCTCTTCCTCCCTCCCTCCCTTCCTCCCTTTCTTTCCTTTCCTTCCTTCTTCTTCCCTTCATTTTTCAATATTTCCCTTTATATTCTCGTTCCGTAGAAGCTATACTTGCACGTGTGCTGCATACGCGGAATAACGAAAAGCTCACAAATTAAATGCCTCGACACGTAAGTACATCAAGTGTCCATACATGAGCCAGCAAGTTGTCGCTGCAAGTTGAAGCTCGACTTAAGATCTTCAGATACGTTCGATTTTATATCACAAGTTGCAAACAAATGTTATATGTTGCATATTTTGCGATAGGCAATTTTTATCTTTTAGTTCCAAGTAAATAACCACGTCTGTTCGAAATATTTCACGCAACAAATTTACATACGAGTATTTAAATCGAGCGTTTGATAGGAAACAATCGCCCGTAAATGCACCTGCCTTATCCCAGATATAGCACAAACTTCTGAAAAACCTCTTAAAGACGTCTGAAAGATATCTAAAAAGAAAAAATAGGGTGTCTTTTGGGCGCGTTTAAGCCATATTTCAGAAATTTGACTTGTCTGTAACATTATTGTCTTTTCGATACATTGGCACGCTACTTGCAGATCATGCATGGCTCACTT